AAGGTTCCATTCTCGCTATTTCCATGTAATTTGACCAAATTCCCATTGGTTTCCATGGGATATGCATTCTCAGAGCACAGTTTATTTTTCAGGGTATGTTACTCTACGCAAAGGCATTTGCATTGTATGTAGATATTTGCTCAGTTCATTTATATAACACATCTTTCCCCACCCCCAAGATTCCCCAAGCTGCCTAGCATTAGAAAATCAGTTCACAACATTGACTATTTGTATCACAGATTTTTTAATATTAAAAAATGTAGTTACACTTTAATGCCATATATACTAACAGGTGCATTCCCCATGCCTGGGTGTGTTTGTCTTGCACTTGCAACTGGTTAATCACATGAGAGTGAGTCAGCAAGCATGTGAGAGTGACTCAGCACAATCTAAAGTATAAAATACACTTGGGCTTGAAGCAAGTTTGCGCTTGGCCCCTGTCCTTGGTCAGAGCCTAGTGTGTCTTGGGATGCTGAAAAGAGACTGTATGCTGCCAGAAGGAGTGCATATTACTGTATGTAACCTATAAGCTGTGGATTATACTGCATTATACTGTCAGTAAAGGAAATGACCCTACCTTGAACTGTCTGGTGGTTTTCTGTTCCATTGGCACACTCTCCTGGTGTGTTGCAGGGGCACTCTGCACATGCCCCAACAAAAGTGGGGAGTGTCTTAATTGGCCCAGGACCCACTGGAACCTGAGATGGTTTTACTGTGTTACATGATGGCATCCGGTCTAATCCAGGCCAGCTCAAAGCAGCTGCACCAATCTTCCCGCCCCACTTCTGCCCTGGGCAGCACAGGCAGTAGGACTGTGGGTGCAACAATGGCTTTGCCACTTTGCATAGCCCTGTCAGTCAGTGGCCAGGATTTGATTGGACCTTTCATTATCAACACGAGTGTCGATTTTTATTCCACCAGTCACGAGTGTATGTGTAGAAAACAGAAACCAACTTTCTTCCTATAGAACCAACACAATGTGCAAAATGATGGATGTCCTATGTTTTGGAAGTTTTTAATGTCTGATGTTTTATTGTATTTTAAAGATTTTGTTGGAAACCGCTCAGAGTGGCTGGGAAAACCCAGCCAGATGGGTGGGGTATTATTATTAATAATAATAATAATAATAATAATAATAATGTGGGGGTTGGTGTGTGTTTTTTTGGAAACACAGGAACATATCTCATTTTGGTGATATGTCACTTATTGCAATAGCGCTGTTTCTCTATCTTCTTGTGATCTATACAGATGTTGCATTCTAGTTCCGTCTTTGCTGTTAATCTTACTTACTATAGCAGTAAAAAAACCAACACGCCTCTGGTCTTGGCATTATTTTATTTACCAGGAACAGGACTAGACCACTGGGAAAGTAGGCCTGCTTCCCAGCCCAAATGTCACTTCCAAATATGCATGTGAGTGTTGATGAATAGCACACCGGAATTACTGCCATAACATGCCAGCTGTGGTCAGACTGGTGAGCCCTTTTCTGCAGCCAAATCTGAATTTTCATTGGTGTTGGGGCTGTAGATCTGAAGCCATGCCTGCCAAAAAACTAACTGGGTTTCATTCTGTGATTGGAGCTAAAATGCATGCTGGTGTTGGCTCAGATAAATGAACATTTATCAGGCTCAAAGTCCTGGACAAGCAGCTATTAACTGAGGTATTGCAAATGGCTGGACTAAATGCCATTCCTGTACAAACGTCTGTGAGTTTGGGGAGATCCTTTTATGAGAGGTGGTCCACTTAACTAAGGAATATATGAGCTTCCCCCTGCAGAAGAATGTCTTCGTGTTCTGCAATAGCATTTCCCTGCAGCTTTGAAAATTATTGTCTTGATAGCCTTTTCTTTTTTCTTCTTAAGCGAAATGGTAACTCTGTGTTTTATGCATCAAATCCCCTATGGTTGAATGGTTGCTGTGTAGCGAGTTGAAGCAACTGGTGGTACACAGATAGAAACATCCAAGAAGCTAGGAAATCGGTTTTCTCTATATGGAGCACTAAAGTGGGGGGCTGTGGGGAAGAGCATTGCCTTGATTATAGTTGATGATATTTGAAAATCTAACCAATGGAAGTTTTTGAGACAGTGCAGTGTGATGAAGCTATTTCACTTCCTTGTTATGCTTTCGTCTTTTAACTGACTGGTAATTTTTATGTGAAGGTGGGTTTAGAAGGCAGCTCTTTTAGAAAGCTCTGTATCAAAGCTATCTGTGGTGTACTGGTAAATTTTGAAGTGCAGGAGCTTATCACGACAGTTTGAGAGCTACATCCACAGTACCCTTACCCAATTCTCTTAGCGTGTTGGAATTTGGCAATGGAGAACTGAGCGCTGATCAGCCATGTAGGATTATTACAATCCTGTGCATGGTAACCTGTGAGTAAGTTCCTTTTAACTCAGTGGTGCTTACTCTTGGCGGTATAAGTTGAGCGGGCAAAGTGTGATGGAGCCTGGGAAAGACACTGAGTTGAAATGCGACCTTTAGCTATTTAGTAGAAATGCAAACAATTTTGAAAAGTAGTGCTGGCATTTAAAGCGCCTATCAAAGGACAGGAGTGTCCAACTTCTGGTTGATTTGTTTCCTCATTCTGATTTCCTCTGTCGCAAGCAGCAATAATAACACTTGAAAGCCTCCTTATCCCCTCATTCACTTGCCAGAACAAAGAGAACTGTTCACTTACACCAGGTGCTCTGGCAGATGATGCCATCCCTCATGTTCTTAAAAAAAAGAAAAGAAAAAGAAAGACTTCTGTTCTTGCAACTGTTTAATTTGAGCTAGCTTAGGCAATAAAGAGGCTCTCTCAGCAACTTTTAGACTAAGTTTCTATATTTCTGGAGCAAGGTGGGTGTAGCTTTTCCATGGCTGGTTCCCACATCAAACCATAACGTTTGGTTGAGGGGACCACATGGAACCCGAGAATTAAACCAGAAGTAACTGTGGCATCACTGTTAGCTCCCAGTAGAGTGTAGTTTGGGCAGGATTACTTCTCCACAACATGGATCCAGAAGCAACTCATCACATGAATTGACTGACATGTAACTGTGAAGTGGTGAAAAGGGAGTGATGAAAAACCAGTTTATTTGTCTCTCTTAAGACTGCTGTCCATGCAGAATGTCTGTTTCTGATTATGGTAACCTTGTAAAGAAGGATGGCTACTTCTAAAAAAATGCTGTTAATAAATATCTTTCTGAAAAATTGTTGCTATTGCTGAACGTTGCTGCTTGCTGATGCATCTTTCTATTTTGTTTAAAAACGGTTTGGATACAGTATAATTCTATTGCATTTTAATGTTTATATTGTTCACTGGCTTCAGAAGACTGTCAAGAAAGTCTGCCTATAAGATAAATAATAACAATGGAGGGTAGTTAAGGACAGCATGTTTTGAAATGAGGCATACAAATAACTATTTATAATAACACAAATACATTATCTATAAAGAATTTGGCCTTATACAGCGTGGGGATCTGAAAGGAAGAAAGCAGTTCTAAGAGAATCCAAGCAGAATTTTGCCATTATTGATTCCCCATGTTAAAAATCATTTACTCTTAATGTTGAAATGTGAAATCCCGTATAAGAATTTTCAAGTTTGGAGGCTGAAGTATAAAGCTGGTGAAAAGCATCCTTCCACGAAGACTTAATTTGCTGTTTTGCACTAACACGTGATGCAGATTGCAAACTTAAAATTTGAATTAGGAATCAACGTATTTCAAATGTAGATCTTCGAATTAATGGAAGTCCCATTCTGTGGATACATGACACCTTTTATGAGGCCTGGGAAGGAGAAATTTATATTATGAATTAAGTTATTTTCCTTCAGTAATAAGTAAAGAAGAACAGAAGTGGAACCAAAAGTCCACTTAGTCCAATATTCTATTCTCACATTGGCCTATAGAAAGCCTGGCATGAATGAGGACATGAACAAAGCAACAATCTCCCCATTTATCATTCTCAGCATACCACCTCTGACACTGGAGCTAGTATATAGCAAACATGTCTGGTAGCCACTGCAGGAAACTATATTAGGGGAGAGTGCTGTTGTACTCCAGTCCTGCTGGAGGGCTTCTCAAACAGGATGCTGGTCTAAATGGACTACTGGCCTCCCCCAGAAGGGTGGTTCTTATGTTCTTGTACTTGGTTGTTCTTGTATCCCCCCCCCCCCAGGCTATGTTTGCAAATCACTTTGGGACTTATACACAGAAAGCAATTCACAAACTAATAAATAAAATAATAATAATAATAAATAATTTCATTGCATAGACATGGAGCCACCATGAAAAAGACCCTTCCATGAATTGTGCTACTTGCTCCGTTTAACTCATTTGACGGAAGCTAGTAATAGTCGATATACCACTTGTGAAAGAAAGGGCACCCTGCATGCAAGGAGGTCGCTGGAGATAAGCGAGCCAGCTCCATCCAACATCAATTCCCATTTCTGTTGCCTTCCGACTTGTGGGTTGTGACTGTATGTTGCAGGAACCCCTTTTTGTTTCTGTGGAGGCTCCCAACACATTTTAAAGCTCTGCCTAATTGGGGTTCGGAAACTCCTGGCTAGTCCCCATGGAAACAAAAGCTTCAACACGTCAAACTGCTACCTTCTGACTCATGGCATGAGTAAAGGTGCCAGAGGGGGTGGAGCCAATGCATTTGTACCTGGCGCCTCCATCCCTTTACCATCTGAAGAGAGCCACGGTCACCTCTTGATGCTAGAATATATGCTGATTAAAATGGAATGTCCAGACCTGATTGATTGATTGATTGATTGATTGAACGCCAAGACACCTCTTTGTTTCGGGTGGCATATGAATGCAGAAAACGAACAGACAAACAAACAAGATTACTTTTCTCTTGACTTCTGTTTAGTCTCAAATCTTTTTCACTGACATTTCTCCAAGTGTTTTTTTTTTAAAAAACCTCTTGTATTAAAATTAGACTTGGGTTTTGAGATTCTCTCTTTCTCATTTTATCCTACCTAATCACTCTCCTCCTTGTATGTTCAAATTGCAGGATGGAGTTTTCTTCTTGAAGTTTTTCAAAAGGATGGATTTGAAAGAGCGAGCAAACCTGGGCTTAAGCAAAGCAAGATTTATCACCCTTTTGTGAGTTCAGTTATCACTATAAATAGAAATTGTTTTAAAAGGTGTTATTTAGTAGTTTTCATTATGCAGCTGTCTATTTAAATCATTTAATTCTGACACCTAATCTAACTCCCGGTCTCCATCAGAGACAAATAAGAAACCATATGTGTAAAGCATCTGTGAAAATCTTCCATTTATTTATGAGAGCATTAAAGAAAGACTCTGATGTCAGTTACTTAACAATAATAGACGTTCCTTTACACCTATAGTGCAGAGTTATTTGGGCATATCCCTCCGTGGTATCTTATACCTACTGCTGTTTCCTTCATTATATACAGATGCACAGCAGTGGAGACAGTAATAGTCTTTCTTAATTAAATAAAGCTAAATGTTAATTAGTCAGAAAATTTGATTTATTTTGAGCACACGAAACTTTTCATTGTGTATCTCTTCTTTGCTAAAGAACAGGTTGTATAGTCATTTAGAACTTTGCATTTCCCCCTTTATTTCGGCTCTGTATTTGGAGTCTTGTGGTGGGATCTAATCGTCATAGAGAAATTATAGGTCTACAGATGTTTTCAAGATGTTACTCTGTCAGTAGCAGATTATCCCCTGTAGCAAAATCTCATTAAAGTGCAATTTACAGAGCTCTGGTGATGTTGCCATCAACCAAAATTAAAGGCATTAATTTTTCAAAGTTCACGGAAGTCCTTACATAAATGATGTAGCAGTTTGCAAGAACAATTTACAGAAGTGTTATTTGCCGAATTAACCTACATTAACAGAACAAATGTTGGAAGGGTAGAAGGAAGGGTTGGGCAGTGAAATTGCAGCTGTTTGCATTTTGTGTAAGGTGCTAGGTACCAAAAAGAAAAAAGAAAAAGAGAGAGAAGTGTGTTGAAATGTAACAATGATTGCATGTCGGGTGAAAGGACGGGGAGGGGAATACAAGCACCTGAACTCTTGCTTTAAAGAGTTAAGCCTATAATAGAGTGATCACCAGTCAGGGACACCCAGGGAGACCTTAAATTCCACTTTGAAACATCTGTACTCAAGATCTTTTAAAATAGTCCCATTTAGAGAATGGGTTTATGTAGCTCATGTTGCGAATATGCCTCTTCAATATGTTGCCACATGTTTATGCAGGTATTTATTGGCTTAGGTGGTCTTATACTGACAGGGAGCCTAGTGGTTACATGTAGAGTACATCAGAAAAGGCCACACAGTATTGATCTGCACCATAGGTTTAAAGCACATCAAACACATATTTAAAGCACATGACTTCACCCAAAGAGTTCTGGGAACCATAGCTTCCCCCTCAGAGAGCTACAGTTTCCAGTATCCTTAACAAACTGCAGTTCCAAAGATTCTTTGGAGGAAGTCATGTGGTATAAATGTGCATTGCATGTGCTTTCACTCATGGGTAGACAAACTAAGGCCCGGGGGCCGGATCCAGCTTCTAAATGCGGCCCGCAGACGGTCCGGGAATCAATGTGTTTTTACATGAGTAGAATGTGTGCTTTTATTTAAAATGCATCTCTGGGTTATTTGTGGGTCATAGGACTTCATTCATCCCCCCCCCCAAAATATAGTCCAGTCCCCCACAAGGTCTGAGGGACAGTGGACCAGCCCCCTGCTGAAAAAGTTTGCTAACCCCTGCTTTAGATGGATGGTGTGGATCTGCCTAAGGTCTCAGGGCAGGAGATAAAATAGTTTATTATACAGTATATGTATACTCATCTAGATAGCTGTCTAAAGATTTAGATATTGGAAATATGAATATCATCTTTAGAAAATAACAAATTGATCTATGGGAGTAAGTTTCCCCCATCCCACACTCCCATGGAAATCCATATTAGCACCTTGGCTCAAGACAGTATTTAGATACGTGTAGTCTTACAATATGCATGATGAAATATTTGCTTTCAGTAGCAAAATTCTTACTGATGTGGAAAGACCCAGGGTTTGATGCTGGGAAAATTGGCCTCTTATTTAATAGCAAACACTGTTAGTAATTATTATACTGACTTCATATATCTTTAAGAAGTATCCATTGTGCATCCAATGTATATGAGTTCTCTGCAGTGTTAAAATTTAGTCCACTCGCTGATCTGAAAGTTTTAAGATTTTTTTAAAGTTGGTATTTCTTTGTTTAAATTGGATGTTCACTCACATCTGAAACAGAATTCTTACTTAATTAAGTGAAAATTACTTCAGTTCTTGTAAACACTCTAGGAAGACTTTGGGATCATTAGGAAGAGTAACTCTTGTGATGACAGTGATCCTAAAATGAGACTGATGGATTTGTGGTACAGATTCAATGTTCAATTAAGCCTTTGGGAAGCATTGTATGCAATTATATGGACCACTGTGATCTCATTTGATGAGCATGGAGCTCAGTGCACCTAATGAACTTGTCTACGAAAATTCATGTGTCACTAAATTAGGTAGTCATTAAGATGACTCTGTCATCTTTAACTGTTATAGATACTTATACCAGGATTCCAAAAAAAACCAAGGAGAAATTAAACAGGAGCAATTAACTGAATGTGGTGGACTCTCCTTCACTGGAGGTTTCTAAGCAGAGGTTGGTCATCTGTCATGGGTGCTTTAGTTGAGATTCCAGCATTGCAGGGAGTTGGACTAGAAGATCATCAAGGTCTCTTCCAACTCTACAATTCCATGAATGTATGAGTGGCCTAACTAGGTAGTTGGTATAGAATAACTCCCATATCTGTAACACTCTCATGTCTGTGCAGTAACAGGACATCCTGGTCTTCCAGTAGTGGTTCAGGGCATCCCTGGTTTCAGTCACTGGTTTGGTTTGGTTTTGATTACTGGAGCTATCTGAAATTTTATGTGGTTTGGCATTGGGTGGAATATATGCAGCCTTTATGTGCTTCTCAATATTTTTGTTGCTTCGCTATTTTTCCATACTACATTTTCCCTGTGCACTTAAAGTCAGAGGGCAATTGCCAGAATGCTCTTCTCCATAAAAATATATTGTTCTAGTATTTTAGTGACATTGATTTTGTGTTTTAGGAAAATACGTGCTTAGATGAACCGAAGATTAGTATACGACTGGGGTGTGAATTATAAGGATTGGTAGCACACTTAATAGACCAAAGTCTTCCATGGCTATTAGAAGTAATAAAAATGATAATAGAATGCTAATAATATACCCCTCAGCCCACTTGAACATCTATAAGTCACACTGCCCACTATGGGACTCCAAGGGGTGCATACATTCAGGACGCTGATTTTCAAAATATTTTTGGATGAACTTCTAAGTCGATAAAAGTCGACGACTTAAGCTCCCATTGATTTCAGTGGGCTGTAATCTTGATCTTGTTATCTACAAAGTCAATGCTTTCTCTGTATGGCCTTTCCTTGCTGTCAGAACAAGCTGCCTCTAGAATTTATCTTGTTTAAAAGTAGAGTTTTAATGCAGTGGTGGACCCTTGGGGAAAAAACCCTCCAGTGTCTGTCAATGACCTGATTAAGCCATTTATAGGCTTCCTTCAACTTTCAATTAAAAATCTCAGCTACCTTTATTAACAGACTCAGAGCGCTTCAGAGACTATGTTGTCAGTCCCATGAGTGGTCTCTTTCATTGAGCATTTATCTCATATCTCTGCCTGTTCATGCCTATGAACTGTCCCTACATGAGAGATGTTGGGTGCAAAAAGCCTTTTTTTTTTTTTAAAGGCTTTTAGTACATGCAATGCTCTCAAATTAGTTCAGCAGTCTGAATCACAAAATAAGTCCAACTTGGATAAAAAACAAACAAACTGCCAGAGAAAAGCAAAGAAAAATTAGAAAACGTTTGAAGTAAATTAGAAGCTTTTAATCCAACTTGTATTCTAGAGTGGGCTGAAATTGTTTTTAGGGTTTTTTATGCTTTAGGCTGCAATTTAAATTTCTATGAAGTTTGTTGCTGACTTTCTGTTAACTTCTATTGGATTGGGATTGTCCTCTGAAACTTGCAACTTTGGTTTCCTTTTCAGGGTAATTTTATTTGGGCTGCATACACACACCATCTTATTCTAGAATCCATGGAGACTGTGCAGGTGTTTCCTACAGATTCCACACACAATCTGCATCCAATACCTATCTTTTACCCTTGAGAAATTGTTGTTGTTGTCGTTGGCATCCTTCTGTCTCATTCCGAAAATGAAAGCTCATGGCAGATTGATTCTGCATTACCCTGCAGTGTGTCCATTTGAAAAGAGATGTAGGCTGTCTAGGCAATGGGAGACCCTCTATCCCTGTGTTACAAGGGATTCAAAGAAAGTAGGCAAAACACTTCAGGAGGCAAGAGGGTTTGATAGAGAATACATTTAGATGAAGGAGCTGTAGCTCAGTGCTAGAACATGTGCTGTGCATGCAGAAGATTCCAGATTTAGTCCATGGGCGTAGCCAGGATATTTGTTAGGGGGGCAGAACTCAGTTTGCTATGTATTTTTATTGATTTGGGGGGCAGTTGCCCCTCCCCACCCCCTCAATGGCTGATATCATGGTTCAGTCCTCACCATCTCCAGTCAGTGCAGACAGTACTGGGTTAGAGTAGGTGCCATTATAAGGCAGCTTCCTCTGTTCCTAGTCGAAATAAGCAAAAAAATATCTTATTGCAGCAGAAAGCAGTGAAGGACACAAGAAGGCAAAAAGTGTTTTTGTGTATGAATACACCCAGTACTTACAATCTTTAAGTATGATTTCATTATTTTACTTATGTAAAGGGTCATGCTAATTTTAAATGTACCCAGTTAAATGTCTGTTGGCAATATTTGAGACTTTCTTTAAACCAGTTGTTTTCAATCTTCTAATTAACGGACTAGTTTAGAAGTCTGATTTGTTAGGCATTAAATAACCTACATGTACAAACGCTTTTGAATACCCTGTCCCACATGTGTGTATGATTTGAAAGATGTGAGAGTAAAAAGTTTTTTTAAAGTGGTTTATTGCTGTAAATTTCCTACTCATTTGAGAACAATTTCATGTAGTCTGAATTCTAAAAAATT